CAGGGTCTTCCAGTAGACACCGTCTTGACCCAGGGCAACACTACTTCCTAATGCCACTAAATATGATTATAAGCTAAGTTTTTGTTTCCAATTCATTAAGGAGCATATCATGAATTCCATATGTTGTTATACATTTTGATGACCAGCACAAAATAAATAACCTACCTTAATTTAAATCAAAGAGAATAAATAAATAAAAAGAATACCAATCCAAATATATAACTTTACTTTTATTAAATATCTTTTAATAGAATATTATAGATGCAAAAAACATCAACAGTTTTTATGATACAGCAGCATTAAGTCAAAAATAAAAATATTGCAACTAATGACATTGCCTGAATTGTGATTATGATTTAACAATAAATCCTAATATAAAATAGAAAAACTTTTATATATATGTATAAAAAAAACTCCTATGCTCCTCTGGCCTTGCAAATGCTAATAACTTCTGTTTATTTATGCTTGATAGAAAACCATGTAAACATTGGACAAATAAATGCTTTGTTTCTACATTGTTCATTCATTCATTTTTTTTTTACTTGCTTCATATTGCAAATTAGCCATGATTGTTTTTTTAATGCAGGAATTTTAAGTTTTAAAGGATTAAAATCACCCCCATATTCTCAAACTAACTAAAAAGGTAGTCACATGATCAAACCTACTTCTTTTAGGATTTTTTTCTGTTATGAAGTATTATGATCATAATTAATTTACTTTCCTTGATATTTACAAAATTATGCTGTCAAAGATTCTAAATAAGGCATTATCAACAAGAAACATGATAAATAATGATCCTTTAGGCATTTGTACAGGCACTTGATTGGGACAATGACTGGAGGCAGCAAAGATGTTTCTTATAAATGTTGGCAGTGTTTCTTTTAAAAGATTTGTAAATATGTAGGACTCAATGTTGAGTCTGAGGCTCTGTGAGAAGGATAGAGGCATAAAATCGCCATCACTTGTAATCACTCCAAACACCATGATGTTGACTGGATATATCATCCAACTCTTTTTGAGTTCTCTGCACTGTCTTCATATTGAAACCCAAACACTCTGAAATGTTCGTATTGGAGCTTCCGGCGCGAATGCCAAGCAGTAGAGCATACCGTTACCAAATTTATGGGGGAGTGAATTGCGTCATCGTGCTCCTTTTCTCACAGACGGTGGCTAACTGACCCTACTATAATGTGCAGCCGACAAAATCAAAATCAAACAACAAATATAAAATGGCGACAATTTACCCATCGCCCCATGTATATATTATATATATATATATATATATATATATATATATATATATATATATATATATGTGCGTGTGTGTGTGGGGGAGTGAATCAATATGATGTTAGTTTTTATAACATATATAGACATATATATGATGATGAGACAAAAGTGAAAAGCTTATAAACGACGCATTTCGCCGATGTCTGTTGTTCTCGGCGTCTTCACATCGAAGATAAAACTGGGTGTAAGAAAAATGCATTGGAATTTTTTTAAGATAAGATTGGTAATAAATTAAATTACCACATCAAATTCGCTGAGCACAAAACAGAAAGTGTTTTCCTTTTCCCTTCTTATCAGACTGGCATTTATTAAGTCGAATTGTGATCAGATGTATTATGTCTAACTAATTGCGTTTAAAGTGTTGTTATGCTGCAGTTGTATGGGTGTAATAGTATATATATATATATATATATATATATATATATATATATATATATATATATATATATATATATTTAGTTGTTTTGATGTGAGTTTGTGACCTGGGTTTCACGCTTTTTCGATCGTCAGACAATCGCAAAAGCGTGAAACCCAGGTCACAAACTCACATCTATCCAACCAAATATGTTAGCTCTATCTCTGATATCGAGCACTTTCTAATAAATATATATATAATATATAAATAATTATACATATATATATATTTATTTATATTTATATACACACACTTTTCACACACACACACACACACACACACACACACACACACACACACACACACACACACACACACACACACACACACACACACACATAAAGCATATATAGACATATGCATATATATTTTATAACGCATATATCTATTTTTTTACAACACACCTATATATATATATAAATATATATATATATATATAAGAGTGTGTGTGTGTGCGGCAGGGTGTATAAAACTTTCCTTTTGGCTGTTTTACTCCAAAAAATAAATGTAAATTTAATTACATTTTCGTAAATAAAATGATATATAATTATTATTTTTCATTAAAAAACTACCTTAATATTGTAGTTCTTTATCTATCTATCTATCTATCTATCTATCTATCTATCTATCTATCTATCTGACATGGTACCTGATTTAAGTACAGTAGTAGGCATCTATTTATCTTGTCAGGTAAAAGTAGCGTCTTGTTTGGTAAAAATCCAGCCCTCTGGTGGCAAAAGTGGCGTGACCACTCTAAGGGGCAATGATATATGAAGTTCTAGCGCTGTCCAGCCAATATAGTCTATCTCTAGGTCATACCGACATGATTCAAAGGAATACAGGACATTAAATTTGATGCCACCAAAGCTGCATGAGTTACCAGAAAGTTGTTAGCGTTGACAGCAAACTACCGGATTTTCTGTATGGATCTACTTCTCCGTGTTTGCATACGACAGCGGAGGTTTAAAATCAGAATTTTCTTTCCTCTAGATGGACTGCCGCCCCAGGCTGACGGCAAACATCTTAAATATGCCTAATAAATATCTATTTGACATGGGCTGTGATTTAAGTCAACATAAATATATATTATTGACACTATTTATATTGCTCGAACTGTTGTCCTTATTTCTGCTGCCATATTCACAATAATTACGATACCTCATCTCAGAAATATAGACAGATCTATCTATCTATCTATCTATCTATCTATCTATCTATCTATCTATCTATCTATGTAATTTGGGTATGTAATCATGACAGAGTTATAAGTCATTGACATTTAGAAAAACGTTCATGAAAGTATATTTCGAAACTAATATCCGATAATGCATTTCGCCTTCATAAATATGGATAACGAAAAATGTGTTGGCTGTGTACGTACACAACATATTTTTCGTTATCCATCTGATGAAGCCATAGAGGCGAAATGCATTATCGGATATTATTTTAGAAACATACTTTCATGAACGTTTTTCCAAATGTCAATAACTTATTATCTATTTAAGTCTGTTCGTAATAATGTACATCTATCTTACTAATTAATCAGATTTAATATTACCTACATTTAAATGTTGATTCTCATACAAACAAACGTTTTATAAGTGTCAATTTAAAAGAATTGTAAAATGATAGTATATCGTATGTGCCAATTTGAAATTTTTTACAAATTAAGTTTGTCCATATCTGTAGAAATGAAAAAGTTGACACGTCTAGATGAAGTGGTTTAATAAAATGCTGAACGCGCAACAACCACCAAAAAATATTCGCCTTTTCTCTCGATGTTTGAAAGGAGGGAAAATTTTAAATACGCCCAGTGAATTCTAATAGAATTAGTTCAGGCGATATTACATCTTTTATCTTTTCAATCTACCGTAAAATATAAAATTGAATTCGGTATAGAATTGCATTACATCTATATAATACATGTTAATGTCGGTGTGTCACTGTGTCGCACTTTTCAACTTTACTCCTAGAGGCTGTAGACCAACATATCATACCATTTTGGAATCAGGCCGACCCCGTGAGCAAATTAAAAACATTCCGGTTCGGATCCGGACACGCAATCCTGAAATTTTGGATTCCCAAGTTTTGGTGTAATCTAACGGTTCTACTAGGCGCCGTGCCCGTTCAGGACGTAGGCGATCAATGGCTCTTCCCAACTTCCTGTCCTTTGCATTTTGAAGATTATTATTATTATTTTTTTTTATTATTAATGGTCTATCTCCTGATATTGATAATTGTAATTGTCTATAGATTACTTGCATTAAAAACGTTAGCATCTAGACATATTTTGATCACGCAGGGTTTTGGCGAAATACAATCTTTGTTATCGTTATTAAATATAAAAGAATATTTTCAGTAAATGTATGGCCAAATCAATTTGCTAACCACCGCAGTTAGTGATCTTTGCATGTGTATCATTAAAACATAGAAACTTTAAGGCATGGCCTACCAGGAATCTCTTCAATGAGTCTATCGGAAACTTTTCGAATCAATCCGAGTGCTCCAACTACAACTGGAATTATTGATGCCCTCATTTGTGTGTCGGGAAATTTTGAGTACGTGGGTTTGTTGGTTTAATTCTGTTGTAGATATTACTATTGTTATTGTTATTATATATGACTTTGGGTGTATCAGGAGATATTTGGTGTATTGGAGTGAAAGACTTGAGTTAAGACCGTCCACAGACATCTGGATCTTATATTCTGTAAGTATGAAAAATTTATGAATGTTGGTGGTATGAAAAAGTGCTCTGGTGTGTGTTTATCGATGGAAGGATATTAATTAATGTCTACTCTATATATTGAAAAGCAAACGGTACAGAACTCTATTCCATAACTCATTTACAAAAGCTTCTGACGCGGCTTAAATAAAAGCGAAACATGTTAATTTTATAAAAGTTTCCTATTTGTTCCTTATTCTATCATTATCTGCTTTGTATATAATGAAAACACTTGCCTTTCTCATACTCATGTTTTACAAGGTATTTTTTTTTGTTTTTGATTTTTAAGTCACACAGTAAAAATTTGTTTTCGTGTCTGCATTTTGAAATAAGTTCCGATCGTTTATTTAGTAAATTGTTCTGGTATATTAACTATTTTTTCCTTCAGACAGAGTTTATAGTTTTAGCATCTATTGCTGTTTTCCTTATTTCCTTATCTTTTTTTTACACTATTGTTCACTGAATACAAGCCCCAAGAGCCACTTAAGGTATAGGTTTACTGAATAAAGTTGTTTTATGGATGGAAGGAGGTAAGAATGAAGATATGTGGGACAGATAACTAGACTTGAACGGCTTGCGGTCATATCACGTTGAAACACCAGTTTTTGTACGATCAACGAAGTTAAGCAGCGTCACGCATGGCCAGTACCTAGATGGGTGACCATTTGGGAATAACAGGTGCTGCGGAATTGGAAATCGGAGAGACGAGTCTCAATTCCAGTCGGGTTTGTTATATTCTCTTACGCACGAATACCCTTGGAAAAGGTATGAATACACATCTACACCCCCAACTATGGGTTAATCAGTAGAAAGTGTATTAGTAAATTATTATTATCTTCAAAAATATTCTTACAACCTAAAAATATTGTCTATCTTTAAATAACTTACAAAAGGTTGACAAGCCGTAAAAAAGAAACCGATCGATGAAAAACCTAGACTTAAGAGTTTCAGTTTGTAATGATCAGAGTTTGGTTTGGTTTGGTTTATTTAACAACATATCAATTCCTTATGGGCTATTTAATGTTGAAATATTATTTTCTTGTGAGTTTCGGTAATTTTATTTCCAAAATGTATTACAGGTATTTTTCAAATATTATATTGCAGTTAATTTTTTTTAACCCTTTCACTCCAAGCCAGGTGGAAATGCCACTAGTACGCAGAGGGTTACAGAGAGTGAAAGTGAGAGAAAAGACTTATAGGGGGGGGGGATTGAAGAAAGGATAACAGCTGAAAGGGATTCAAGAATATAGAAGATTGCGATTGATATTGCATTTAAATGTTTGAAGACTGTAGTTATCACGGAAGCAAGTAAACGGAAAGAAGTTCCACAGGCGGGAAGTGCGAGAAACGAAACTGTTGGAGTAGAAAATGTATTTCTGGTAATTTTTTCTAATTTATTTTTATATTTTCACTATTTGCCGAGAGCTGGGCCAGATGCTATCACCCTGAATCAGGGTGGACCTTGGATCAACAGCAATTAAGAGATGGTTTTACGCTCCTCAAAACCTCCTTTTCAGAGACATTGCTGCTGGGTAGATTTTATCGTTATACCCACGACACTAATGATTAGGGAAGCTTTCTCTCGAGAGTCTGTTCCATCAAGTAATGTTCCTTGAGCAGAAGTTGTCCAAATGGGACTTTCTTCTTACTAATGAAATACGAAGAGAATGGGGACGATTCATCCCAGTGTATGTGGCGTAGGGAGTATTATCTGTAAAGATCTGAATGAATGAAACTAATGAATGCAGCTTGTCTGAGTATTTTCCAGGGAAATGGCAATATAGTAGCAATGGAAAATGTATTGTTTATGTTGAAACTTGACTAATGCATGGAATAATAATGCAACACCAAATGTACTTAGAACAAAATGTATTGAAACAAGGAAATGTACACAATATTTACATATAGTCTTTTGTATATTCCTGGTAAGACCGTTCCTGGAGAATGTGTTGACTGAGTCGCAGTCGGTCAGAGTCTCTGGATTGAATCTCTTGATTCCTCCCCTCTCTTCCCGGTACCAACCATATTTATATGGTCGGTACTCCACTATGCAAATTAGGTGGATCCTACCACAACAGTTTACAACAATGTACAACAAAACAAAATGGTCCTGGGGGAAATGAAATTAGCCACTATTAACGTCTTCAAATCTGAATACTTATATAAATCTTTAAAATGCATTTGAAGAATGTGATGCTGAGCATCTGGCTGAATTGAAGGGCAATGTATTTTACAATCTCCCGTAAAATCAGACACTAAATTCAGATTCTCCAATAGGAGTAGATAGGTTCGCCTATCGTTTGGTTCATGCTCCTTCCCGATCTTTTTAACAAGAGTAGCGGTTAATGCCTTGTTTCTTGTTTAGGATTGGGTTTCAGATTCCTTCTAAAGTCTGTATCCAGACTAACGTCTCCGGCTGCGTTCTAAAATGTTATTCACTCATTAAATCTTGACCTCTTCAATTCTACAGTTAGCAGTGATCTTTCCTGTATAGCCCCAAGAATTTTACTTCTTGCTCTCTCTTACGCTGATACGACACAAAACAGTAACCCGCTGCCTTGTGTGAATCTTGGGCCTTGTATTAAGAGAACATTGGAAATAAAAATTCTCTTCTCTTGTAAAAATAAATTAGAAACTCTATCCTGAAATTTCTATCCTGAAAACCCAACACGTATAATCTTGAAAACTATACCAGATTTAAGGATATTATCTTTATTTATTCTTAGTCAATCCTTATTATTTGTTATGTTCCGACAATCCTCGTCGGACCTGTTATATCCCGTGCTAAGGGAACAAATAAGTAATACGAGGTGGATACTAGAAGAAAGGTTTATTGTACACAACAAGTACAATATGAAATACGATACAGTTATATACACAGGTCAATCTAGTAGGGAGTGCCACTAATTGGAAGGTCGGACATGCTTGCGTCTTCACTTTCACTCTCTCCCCTTCGTCCCACGTAGACAGTCGACTTTATAGGTACTTACTACCTATAGTGTAATCTTTCATGGGGGTGCCGGGTTATTCCAATACATCATTATTTTAAGATGAAACCCTGTCAGGAAGTAATGTATTATCAACTAATATTTTTCGATGAATCATTATCAGCCATTAGTATCTTTTGCTTGAAGCAGTCATTATTATTAGTCAACATTATCAAATATTATTATTTACACTACATTCGAACGTTTCGGCCGTTGTGCTATCCTGCTTCAAAAAAAAAAAAAAAAAGAAAAAATTCATCTGACACTTCATCTGTGGGAAAAGAGCTGTATTTCCTAGTTTGGAAATGCTCTGAAACCACCATGTAAAAATACACATTTGAAACTTTGCACTTTACGTTTAAGCTGCGTAAAAACATGCATCAGAAAAAATAATAACGAATCGCAGACATTTGTGGTAATTATTCTCTAGACGAACTGTTTACGACATTTAAATGGGGACAAAAAAGACTCCCGATGAATTGATAATTTTAAAAATAGTCATCTAAATAAATAAACGGCAAATTCTGTTTGTCCGTCCGTAACTAACTCGGGGCACACTTTCTCTACAGAGACATATTATACCTTTTGGGAATCAGAATGATCTCGGAATTGAAAATCTGCCTATCATCTGGTGTTTGGACATCCAGCCTATCATCTGGTGACATTCAGCACTGGGATTTATTCAGAAAAATATGACAAAATGGAAAAGTTTTTGTGATGTGTTTCATCCTTTAGGATTTCATCGGTCAGTTTGTCATATTTTTCTAAATAATTTTTGTTGATATATAAAATTATACAAAATTGTATATTGTTATATCATTGGGATTTATGCCCGGATGAGGAGAGAACAGTTAAAAATTCAAATTTTAAAATAACTGCAAAAAGTTAGTGATTTTAAAAGTTTTTAATTTATATTGAGTTTAAAGTGAGACAAAAACTTTGTCAATTTAAAAAAAAAAAACATTGTTTTAAATTCAGTTTAAAATATCTCCAAAACTTTGTGAATTGAGGAAATCAATTTTATTTCTTCAAAATGACAATGAATTAAAAGAGTTAAAGTGAAAGATTTCGTGGCATGATCTTTTGAAGTTCCGCAGAGTTTGTGATTTGAAGAACTCAACTCAACTGATGTTCCATGGAGTTTGTGATTTGAAGAACTCAATTTTCGTACTGAATTGGAATTTCAGCCCAAAACCGGAGTTTCAACCTAAGTCGGATTTTCCGCCCAAATCGGTCTTTTGGACGGAATCAGATTTGTAGCCCGAATCAGAGTTAAGGTGAGGTTTTGAAGTTCATGGAGTGAATTAAGGAATTCAAAGTTATCTCTTCGAAATTATCTTTGCTTGTTTCTAAGCTGGATCAGAGGTCTCTTTAGTTTTGGGCCTCAGAAAACTCTGAGATCGAGGAGGTAAACTCAAACTCAGTTGCGGGAAAAATGATTTTTTGTTTGTTTTTCAATTGGAAAAGAAAGATGCTTACTAATAATTTTATTAGTACGTTTAACATTTAACTACTTGTTAGTTTCATTCTTTAGAAAGTCAGTAGACATTTGAACGTTGCAGCATTCCATAGTTTCAATACAGATTAATTGTCAGTTCAGTCTTCTGAGCGTTCAAAGCGACCAATCGCAAAGAAAGTCATGAAATAATCCATAAGAACCATTGACAAACAATCGATCATCTCTGTCACATTGTCAATGGAGAATCGCTTAGTCTCTGGGATTTCAGCTGTGCGCCAACACCTTCTTTATTGCACTATAAACGGGTGTATCTGTGGACACCGACGCCAGCGCGCCAGTAGTCACAGGGACTCGACAATTTTTGTCCTGGTTTCATATATACTCGTATGGGCATCCAACATTAAAAACGAACTTGTGTCACATCCTATAATGGTAGGTAAGTTGGTAAATACCCCCTCTATCACATAACATGATTTTTTAATCATTTCACACGAAGCAAGGCGATAAAACCACTAAGACGCAAAGGGGGTTACTGAGTGTGAAAGAAAATGAGGAAACATTAGTGAGAAGAAAGAACAATAAACGAACAGGATTCAAAAAGACAGAAGATGATGACTGACATCACATTTAAATTTTTGAAGATGGTAGTTGACAGGAAGCAAGAAGCTGGAAAACTGTTCCACAATTGGAGATGCAAAAGAAGAAACTATAAGAATATAAATTATGGTTACATCTAGCTATTTAAACAGCAAAATGATGAGACCTAGCTGCCAATCTAGTATTACGCACATCAGAACAATTAATCTGAAAATATTTTTAGAAGTTACAGCGGTGGGAAAGTGACCGAAGCCGAGATGTTAGCTCCTGACCGATAGCATTGTAGATTCTTTGGATTTTGTCAAGAGTCTTGAAGAATCAATTATGACGTCTTCTAGGAGATTCTAGTCTGGGAATATTTTGATTCAATGTCGTAGTTATTGAAAATAAAATAAAGTACTAAGTGTTAAAAGAACGGTCTTTTTAAATTTTTTATCCTGCAATTTACTAATTTGGTGATTTAAAATTACATGTATCGTTCGAGTGAATTTTAGAAATCGATAATCGCGACATTTTTCTTCTCATTTGATAGAGGTTTTCAATAAAAGAACAGAAAAGAATGATTTGAACGAAAAGAAATAATACAAAACAAGCAATTCTAGATTTAAAAATGCACTCAGAAAGAAAGCATCTTATATTTCC